GACTGAGAACCAGAAGCTGGAGAGCAAAATCCGGAAGCACCTGGAGAAGAAGGGACCCTAGGACAGAGGCTGCAGCTATTACTTCAAGACCATGGAGGACCTGAGGGCTCAGATCTCTGCAAATACTGTGGAAAATACCCGTGGTGTTCTGCAGATCGACAGTGCCCGTCTTGCTGCTAATGACTTTAGAGTCAAGTATGAGACAGAGCTGGCCATGCGCCAGTCTGTGGAGAACGACATCCATGGGTTTTGCAAGGTCATTGATGACACCCATGTCACTCGACTGCAGCTGGAGACAGAGATCGAGGCCCTCAAGGAGGAGCTGCTCTTCATGAAGAAGGATCACGAAGAGGAAGTAAAAGGCCTACAAACCCAGATTGCCAGCTCTGAGTTGACCGTGGAGGTAGATCCCCAAATCTCAGGACCTCACCAAGATCATGGCAGACATCCGGGCCCAATATGACAAGCTGGCTTGGAAGAAACAAGAGGAACTGGACCAGTACTGGTTTCAGCAGATTGATGATGCCACCAAAGTGGTCACCATGCAGTGACAGAGTGAGACTCCATCTCAAAAACAAACAAACAAACAAACAAACAAACAAACAAACAAACCCTCTGAACTCAGTGAATGGAACCTTATTTGGAAAAAGTGCCTGTGCAGATGTGCTTAAGTTAAGGATCTCGAGATGAGATCATCTGGATTAGGGCCCTAAATCCAATGACAGGTGTCCTTATAAGAGAAAAGAAGTCACAAACACAGAGGAGAAGGCCACGTGGATTCACAGAGAATAGAGCGGTGTCATCACAAGCCAAGGGACACCCAGATTCCCCAGGAACTGGGAGAGGCAAGAAGGAGCCTCCCCCAGAGCCTCCAGAGGAGGCAACAGGGTCCTGCAGACACCAGAATCTTAGGCTTCTGGCCTCCAGAGCTGCAAGAGAGCGTATTTCTGTTGTGTTACTTTGTTACGGCAGCCACAGGAAATGGGGTGGTGGTAGAGGGGGGGGGGCCCTTATGGGAAACAAATACGTCTTCACTTTGATGCTTTTGTACAAATACCCCCTAGGAAAATAACACATTTAGGGCCCCATTAATGCATGACAATTGAGTAACTCATAGACAGGCCTCACTCCTCTCTCCCTGATACCTTGACCTTTACCCTCCCTCCCTTCCTCAGCCACTTGCTCCTGATCCCCAGATCCTGTCAGCATGTTGTCATGGATAGAGTGGACCTGTGTGACATGTGAGGGACAGCGAGATCAAGGTCCCTGGAGACAGACTGTGGCATGGAGCCGGAGAGCTGAAGTGTCCTAGGGGGAGGATAGTAAAAGCATAATGTTGCTCTTTGGGGCAAGTGGAAACTTCTAGAGTTCTCTGTGTATGAGAATGGAACTGCAAATCATTTGCCAGTGACTTTCCTGCTTTGCTCCAGCGAGAGGGTCACAGTGGGACCAGTGGCTGTGAGTGGAGTCCCCATGGGGTTGCGGGACAGGAGCTTCCACAAGGTGCCTCCTGCTGCAGAGCCTTCACCCACCTGAGCCAGGGAGCCAGCTGTTCACCACAGGAGGGGCTCAGGGGCTGCCTAGGAGACAGATTTCAGGCCAAGGTCTTTCTATCAGCTCCCACTCTGGCTGCTGTGCACCCCACAATGAGGATCCTCCATCTCCAACCATCGCAGTGGAGCCTTGTTTCAGAGGTGACCTCGCTGACCTCGTTGCAGGACTTTGAGGGTACACCCCACTCTGGTCCCCTCCCGCACCACCTCCTTGCTATCAGGAGTCGTCCCTGGGCTATCAGGAGTCCCGGGACAGCCCGGCCACCCACCCTCGCTGTGGCTGTCCTGCTGACACCCTGGGTTTCTCAGGTCCTTGCCTTCACTTGGCCCTTCTGAGAGCTTCCTGGCTCCGTAACGTTGCCCATTTCTTCCAGCTGCTCTGCCCTCCGACTTTCTTTGCTGGCCAGTCTCCCAGCTCTTCCGTGTGAAACCCTTCTCCCCATAAGAAGATTTTGTCCTCAGTGGCACGATTGCATGTGGTAGTTTTAAAAAATAATGGATTTACTCAGATATAATTCACGTACCATAAAATTCACCCATTTAAAGCATACAATTCAATGGCCTTTTAATGTATTCACAGAGTTGTGCCACCGTCACCACTATCTAATTCCAGAACAGCCTTGTCACCCCTGTCTCCATCAGCAGTCACTCCCTGTGATCTCTTCCTGGCCCTGGCACCCACTCATCTGGTTTTAGTCTCCCGCACATCTATTGCTGGGGTAGATTTTCCAGCCCTCATGCCCGACTGGCAGCACTTCTCCCTAGGTCCAACTTGGTCACACCCAAGATCCCGTGCGTGCTTAGAGCTTGCTCAATTACTCTATTGAGCTCCTGGTTACTTGAGTCTCTGAAAAAGAAAATAATACCAGGCAGTAGATTCACCAAAAAGTCATAATCTGACCAGGCTTTGTGGCTCACACCTGTAATCTCAGCACTTTGGGAGGCCGAGGTAGCCAAATCACCTGAGGTCAGGAGTTCGAGACCAGCCTGGCCAACATGGTGAAACCTCGTCTCTACTAAAAATACAAAAAATTAGCTGGGTGTGGTGGCGCACGTGGCCTGTAATGCCAGCTACTCAGGAGGCTGAGGCAGGAGTATCACTTGAACCCGGGAGGTGGAGGTTGCAGTGAGCCAAGATCATGCTACTGCACTCCAGCTTGGGCGGCAGAGCGAGATTCTGTCTCAATCAATCAATAAATAAAAAGATGAAGGGTGGGTAGGCAGTGGGGAGCGGGGAGGGAGAACAGAGATGGAGGCTGTGGATCTTGCCGATGGTGAGAGGGAGCTGGCTCGGATAGCACAGTGGATAAGTGACTATGGCAGGAGGTTCCCAGGCAGTGAGGAGTTTCTAAAGACAAGTAGTAGGCCTGGACTTTGATGAGGCTGCCAGGATGAAGACCTGGACAGGTTAGGTGCTTTGGAAATTGCCTCTGCTTTTTGAAGACCACCCAGGCTTTCCCATGGCCCTGCCTGTGCACAGCCTCTCTTCTGGACCCCAAATGCCTCTTCCCTCTTTCTCTGCCTCATCCTTTGATCTTCAGACCGAGTCCTATTCCTTGAAATGAGTCACTCACTCTTTTCCATAATAGTGCTATTGTGAGGGAAAGGCTGTGATTTAATCAATGTATGGGCACATGGTGAGGATTAGCTAAGGAAGCGCTGGCAAATATTACAGAATCGTGTTTCTGATGGTGACTGGCAGCCCCAGGGCCAAGCCTGGGGTTGCGAACCAGGCTTCAGCCCTCAAGGAACTCACCATCTGAGCCAGGGGAGATGAGACGGGGTATGCCACATTTAGGACAATGGGGACAGGCTTGCCAGTGGGAGAGGAGGTGCTGCCTAAAGGTTTGCTGGCTCCAGTTGGTGGCTAGTGAATTATTCATTTATCAACCACTGCGCCGAGGTGACCCAGGGCTTTAAACTTCATGTGTTCATTGAGTCATTCCCTCGGCTCACATTCCCAGGCACCTTTTACTAACTGAGCTGGGACTCTTCTCAGCACATAAGGCCCAGAGCAGAAGGAGGAGTTCGAGCTGCGCCTAGAGGATGGGCGGGCCACCAGGGGCCAGAGGGAAGCACTGTATGATTTGGGGTGTTCGCATATGTGCACGTGTGTATGTGGGGGGAATGTGTGATGCATGTGTATGGAGGGGTGTGTGTGTGTAGTGTGCACAGATGTGGTGGTAGGGGGAAGCTGAGAGGCAGCAGCCTGATTCTCCAAGGCCCATAGCTGCTTTAGGGAACATGGGCTTGAGCCTTCTAGATCTAGCTGTGGCTGGTCCAGCCCAGGGCACTGTCTGGAGGAACACAGGACCTGGCCTCCACCAACGGGGCTGAGGAAAGGTGGGCCCTCTGGGCATTGCCCAGGTTTCAGCCTTGGGCTGGGGAGAGGGTGGGGCTGCTCACAGCTTGGGGACAGACACAGTGCTCAAGGTATGGCAGGTGTCAGCAGCACCGGGAGCTGGGGACCCTGAGTCAGTTCACACACGCACACATATGCACACACACGTGCACACCTGTGCACATAGACAAAAGCAAGCTGGGTGATGGAAGTGGAGCAGTAATTCCTTCACCAGGCAGAATATGTGCAGAGACGTTCAGCTGGGAGGCCATAACCTTTAGGGGACCTGCCAAAGGTCTCTGCCATGAGGCAAAGTGGTGAGATCTGAGGCCGGTCAGTTGACAGGGTGACTCTGCAAGGACCAGCATGTGAGGCCAAGGCCCCACATTTTCTCCTGAGGGTGAAGGGACCCCGGAGGGTGTCAGGCAGGGCAGGACCTGTTGAGCCTCGCCGTTTAGAAAGCTGGCTCCGGCGGCTGCTATTGTGGGCTGAATGGCAGCCCCCAAAAGGTGTGTCCATGTCCTAATCCCTGTGACTGTAACCTTATTTGGAAGGACCTTTGCAAGATGTAATGAAGATAAGGATGTCAAGATGAGCTCCTCCTGGATTATCTAGGTGGGCCCTAATCCAGTGACAGATGTGCTTATAAGAGAAGAGAAGACAGGGAGAAGGCCATGTAAAGATGGAGGCAGAGACTGGAGTGAGGGGACCACAAGCCCAGGAAGAACTCAGGCTGCAGAAGCTGGAAGAGCAAGGAAGAACTGATCCTCTGCCAGAGCCTTTGAGGGAGCAAAGCCCTGGTGTCACCTCCATTTCAGGTGTCTGGCCTCCAGAATTGAGAGAGGATATACTTCTGGTGTTTTTAGCAATCCAATTTGTGGTCATTTGTTACAGTAGCCCCAGGAAACTAACCCAGCTGCGATGGAGAGGACTTGGGGAGCCTGGTGGAGGCAGGAGGTGCTGAGGAAGGAGACCCAGGCCGGACTGGGTGTGTGGGGTGGGGGTAAGAGGTGGAGACTTCCACATCATCAGGAGATCAAGACGCCTGGGTAGAAGGGTTTAGGGAGTAGTAGCTGTTGCCTCTCCATATTGCCAGCTGTCTGAAATTGTAGCAATGATCTGAATGTATTAGAATGGCTCAAGTGACTGTCACTAGCTTGGGAGTCCTTTTGGGGTTCTATGTCCCTAAAGCCTGATGCGCCATTTCCTGCTTGTGGAAGGCACGAATGAAAAATGGGATGGTAAATACATGAGTTCGATATTCAACATGTATTCGACAAACATTTATTAGGCTCCTACTGTGCGTAGCGCTGGAAAGGCAAGCAGAAGCTAGATTCCCAATCGATCCCAGGAGGCTGGACGATCCAGACACAAACACCGTTCATCCGTCTATTGGAAAAGGCCCCCTTGGAATTTTGTGCACAGCATTTCCTTGGGGTGTCGGTGGATCGGGGTTTGGAAACACTAGCACCTTTTCCGGTGGCCGCTGCCTTCTCAGACCTCAGACACCGGCGCCTCCACGTGAACTCCCGCCGGCGTCTCTAGCCCAGGGCTTGGCGGGCGCTGCCGGCTGTTCCTGGCCTAAGCCATGTTGGGCCGCCAGCCCGGGGCTACATCTTCTTCGGACGGCGGGGATTTGCGGCTCGAGTGACCGGAGGTGCCCTCCCGCGGGTCTGAGAGCAGCTCCGCGGACTCTCGCTCCGCGGGGAGGAGCCTGCGTCTCCCAGAGGCGGGGCTCGAGGCGTCTAGGGGGTCGCCACTCGCTAG